TTGCGAGAGAAGTTCCCAAAATTCTTCGGAACAATTGCCTTCCCTTATACAAATGGACGTCTCCACGTGGGCCATGCTTTTTCGTTCAGTAAGGTAGAATTCCATGTCGGCTACGCTCGTATGAAGGGAATCAATGTCCTGTGGCCGCAAGGATACCATTGTACTGGCTTGCCGATCAAGGCTTCCGCCGACAAGCTCGCCAAGGAGGTCGGGATGTTCGGTCAGGAGTTCGAAAAGTACAAAGAGGAAGAGGAGCCCATAGCCCAGACAGTTGCCGCGCCGGCCCAGAGAGAGAGGGAGGATGTGACAAAATTCACCGCAAAGAAAGGCAAGGCCGCCGCGAAGGCGGTTAAAATGAAGTACCAATTCCAGATCATGCAAGCCATGGGCATTCCCGTCCAACAAATACACCTCTTCGCCGACCCGGCCTACTGGCTGGAGTACTTCCCGCCTCTCTGCAAGCTTGATCTGAGTAACTTTGGCAGTAGGATCGATTGGCGCAGACAATTTGTCACAACGGATGCCAATCCATATTTCGATGCGTTTGTCCGCTGGCAGATGATCCGACTAAGAGAGTTGGACAAGATCAAGTTTGGAAAACGGCATACTATTTACTCAATTAAAGATGGACAGCCCTGCATGGACCATGACCGCAGCGAAGGAGAGGGTGTTAACCCTCAATTATATGTGGCTATCAAGATGCGGGTACTTGAGTTTGCCTCCAAAGCTCAAGAGATCCTACAAGGAAAGCTTCCCGACGATGCCAAAATATACCTGGTTCCGGCAACCCTACGAGCGGAGACTATGTATGGACAAGTGGCTTGCTTCGTCTCGCCGAAGATTACCTACGGCGTTTACGAAGCCGCCCCGGGGGAATACTATGTGATGACAGAAAGAGGTGCTAAGAATATGGCTTACCAGGAAATATTCGCCCAAGAAGGTGTTATCAAGAAGATAACCGAGATTGATGGCTCGGATCTCATTGGGTCACTGGTTAATGCCCCTCTTAGCTTCCACAAGGATGGAGTTCGGGTACTTCCCATGGAGTCGATACTTGAGACCAAAGGAACTGGAGTAGTGACATGCGTGCCCTCGGATTCGCCTGACGATTATGCCACGATAACGGACTTGGCTAAAAAGGCCGATTATTACAAGATACAGAAGGAGTGGGCGGAGCTTAATATTCTCCCTATTATCCGGACGCCTACTTCGGACTTGCTCGCCTTGGAACTAGTCAAAAAGTTAAAGATTGCGTCTCCGAAGGATGTGAAGCAACTCAAAGAGGCTAAAGAGTTAGCTTACAAGGAGGGTTTCTACCAGGGCTACATGTTGGTAGGAGACTTCAAAGGTGAAAAGGTAGCAGATGCCAAGCCCAAGGTTCGAGCTCAACTGATTGAAGCTGGTCTTGCCTTCGAATACGCAGAGCCTGAGAACAAAGTTGTCAGCAGGAGTGGCGATGAGTGTACGGTCGCACTCATGGAGCAGTATTATATCGACTACGGAGAGGATTCGTGGCGCACAATCGCTACCAACTATGTCGAGAACAAGAATGGAGATGGCCTCAACACTTATTCGAGCGACGCGCGCAATGCATTCTTAGGAGTTCTTGACTGGCTTAAGCAATGGGCATGCGCTAGGACATACGGTCTCGGCTCAAAACTTCCATGGGCGCCTGAATTCCTGGTGGAAAGTTTAAGTGATTCGACTGTTTACATGAGTTACTATACCGTTGCTCATTTCCTCCATAGTGACCTCTTCGGACGGGAAAAAGGCAGCGGCAACATTGCACCGGAACAGATGATTGACGAGGTTTGGGATTATATCTTTTGCCGCGCGAGTCTTACCGATGATATCCTAGCCAAGTCAAAAATTCCCAAGGAGACTCTGGAGTCGATGCGCCGCGAATTCGAATACTTCTACCCACTTGACTTGAGAGCGAGCGGCAAGGACCTGATCAACAACCACCTTACCTTTTTCCTCTACAACCATATCGCACTATTCCCTAGGGAGTACTGGCCCAAGTCTATTCGAGTAAATGGACATCTGCAGCTTAACGGCGAAAAGATGTCTAAGAGCACTGGCAATTTTATGACTCTCGATGATGGTAAGCTTGCGCCAGGTATTTATTCTTCGCAAACGTTGCTAACTAGGCTGCAGTGGTGAAGAAATTCGGCGCAGATGCGTCTCGTATTGCTCTTGCGGACGCTGGAGATACCATTCAAGATTCTAATTTTGTCGAGGACGTCGCCGACAACACTATGTAAGTCATCCAGATATTAGCTGTAGTTCAGCGATAGATGAACTAATATGTTGCTATCACTAGCCTTCGACTACACACCCTGAGGGAATGGTGCGAAGAGATGGCTAAGAGCCAGGATCTGCGAACGGAGCTGAATGACTTCGAAGACGCACTTTTTGATAACGAAATGAATACGCTACTGCAGGAGGCAAATAATCATTACGAGGAAACGAACTACAAGATGGCCCTGAAATCATGTTTCTATGACCTGATAAATGCAAAGGATGTGTACAGAGGCGCTTGTGTGGCGGCTGGAATCCCGTTGAACAAGGAGTTGGTGTTCAAGTACATAAGACTACAAGCACTATCTCTCGCCCCGATTGCACCACACTGGTCCGAGTACATCTGGCTCGAGATACTTCACGAAGCCCGAACGATACAGGTGGCCCGGTGGCCCGAGGTGCCAGAGGCCAATGCCGGCCTTAGCGCGGCCCGCGCCTACGTTCTCACGACACAGTCTAATATCACGTCGGCGGAGTCGGTGCAGATAAAGAAGATGGCCAAGGGAAAGCAAATGAACTTCGACCCTAAGAAACCCAAGAAGCTGACGATTTTCATAACTCGAGAATTCCCCAAGTGGCAGAATGAGTGCGTCGGTCTGATTAGGGAGACGTGGGATGAAGCGACCAGGACGCAGAAGTGCACCGACAAGGAGCTAAGCGGTCGCATTGCTAAGATAGGCAAAGTGAAGGAAGCGATGCCATTTGTGCAGCTCCTCAAGAAAAGGCTTCGTAACGGAGAGTCGATCGACGTTGTGATGGAACGTAAATTGGACTTCGACGAGTCCAAGACTGTCACGGCCATGGTGCCCGGTTTAAAGAGAGCGGCAGGGTTATCAGATGTCAATGTCTTGTTAGTAACCGAGGGCAGCAAGACGGGAACCGACCTAGTACACGGCGGAGAGATCGACATCAAGTCCCCGATTGCGGAGCAGGCTGTCCCTGGCCAGCCGTCGTTTCTGTTTGAGAACATCGAGGCATAGTTGAAAGGGAATAAGTAGACTCATGTTAGGTATGAATGAGAAGAGGGAAGAAAATAAAAACAACACAAAGTCCTTACAGGATCATATATCCTGGTGGGTTTTAAATGTTCTACCCGAGAGAACTAGCTAGCCTATCTACTGACAGAGTTAACGAAAATGAGACAGTAAAATACTTAAGCCGAGGCTCGCAAGTAGGTTGCGTAGTGATAGTAGTGTTGTATAGGGGTTTAAGGCATCGGTAATAAGTGACGTTGTTTTTTAACCGAAGGCTCGGGGGTTTAACATTGATGTGAGATAAACAAGTATAGTTAAATAAACTTAAGGGGGGCAAGGTTTTTTTTTTTTTTTTTTCCTTTCTCTCTCCCTCTTCACTGGTTGCTGTATTATTATTACTCCACCAATAAGCGACATTCGCAAAACTGCGCCGCCTTTGAACCGACCCCTCACGTTCTTCACCATCCTCACGAACCAAGATGATGGCCAGCAGCCCGCTAAAGATTGCCGTTATCCCAGGCGATGGCATCGGAATCGAAGTGATGCCATATGGTGTCCGATGTCTCGAGGCGGTGGCTAAGGTGTATGGTATCTCGTTGAGCTTCCAGACGTTTGATTTTGCTAGTTGTGACTTTTATAAGAAACATGGGGACATGCTGCCGGCGGACTGGAAAGAGTCTCTTAGCGGGTTTGATGCTATCTACTTCGGCGCCGTTGGCATGCCGGATTTGGTGCCAGATGAGGTGTCGTTATGGGGGAGCTTGTTGAAGTTTAGACGCGAATTCGATCAGTATATCAACCTTCGTCCGTGTCGGCTGTTGGCTGGTGTTGATTGTCCTCGTACGTATTACGCTTCTATAAGCCATCCTTATAAGTCTTCATTATCACTATCCGACACACTAACACAATAATAGTGGCCGGTCGGAAGCCTGGAGATATCGACTTCTGGATCGTGCGGGAAAACACGGAAGGCGAATATAGTAGCATCGGAGGTAAGATTTTTGAGGGGACGGACAGGGAGACAGTTATCCAAGAAACGGTGATGACGCGCACTGGTATCGACAGAGTCCTTCGTTACGCCTTTGACCTTGCGCAAAGCCGGCCGCGGAAGCGTCTTACAAGCGCGACCAAGAGCAACGGCATCAGCATCACCATGCCATACTGGGACTCCCGCGTCCGCGAGATGTCAAGCAAATACCCCGACGTCAATGTAGACAAATACCACATCGACATTCTAACCGCGCATTTCGTCCAGCGGCCCCAAATCTTCGATGTCGTCGTCGGCAGCAACTTATTCGGCGACATCCTATCCGACCTCGGGCCAGCCTGCACGGGTACAATCGGGATTGCGCCGTCGGCCAATATCAACCCGGACCGGCGATTCCCGAGCCTATTCGAGCCGGTGCACGGAAGTGCGCCCGATATCGCTGGCAAGGGCATCGCGAACCCCGTAGGCATGATCTGGGCGGGTCAAATGCTACTTCAGCATTTCGGATACCAGGATGCTGCTGCGGCGGTGTTGCAGGCCATTGAGACGGTGCTCGCGCAGAGGGATCAGAGTGTTATTACGGCTGATATGGGCGGAAAGGGTACTACAAAAACCCTGGGAGATGCTATTGAGGCGGCAATCCTTGCGGCTGGGAAGTAGAGCGTAGAGCGTAGAGCGTATAGGTTTTGGATATTGCCTACTGCGTTCCTATCCCGTATTCGCTGTCATATCTATATTGCTACATCCAGATTGGTATATACTCTTTCATCTTGGTCCCATAACAAACTAAAAGAACAACACGCCCGACTCGGCGCTTAAATACCCGTGTACGCCTGCAGTGACAGCTTATACGTCCCGCACGTAGTACTAACACCCGCGCAGTCGGCTGCTGCACCGCTTTTCCCCTCGGCGATACACGTGTCGAGAATCGAGGCAGCGATCGTGTCCGCGATCCACTGTGAATCTTCCGAGAAACTCTCCTGACTCTTACCACCGCACACCCGACCAAGACAACCGCCTTCCCACCAGTTCAAGCAGAATCCTCCGGCTACCTTGATGGTCCCGTTATTGGCTCGGATATCGCCAATGACGGCCTGGCAGTCGGCTACAGAGGCTGTGGTATCCTACGGCATAAACTTAATTCCGCCGTGCGAAGACTTAAAGCAAGAAGGGTATCGACAAACGTACCTCTAAGCAAGTGCTGAAGCTATCACCCGGGTCCGCGGAAGCGCTGTGCACGGACGTAGCGTGGAAACCTTCAACGTGCGCACCATCGTCAAGCGTAAGGAAACCCTTAGGTCCAGTACCCGTAGCGCGCGACTCAACATGGCTCTCGACCTGGTTCGCGGCCGCGATATACGGACGATGAAGATTCGGTGAGCGTCTCGCGGACACGGCGCCAAAGCTAGCTACGAGCGCAAGGGCCTGAATGGACAACTTGGACAGGAAAATCATTTTGAATTAGACAGCGATAGTGAATTTAACGAGTGAAATGCAGATAAGTCTGCAATAGGCGTGAGCAAAGGGGCGACTGAGAAGTAAAAGAAAGTAACCGTAAGAAATGAAAATGAAGGACGCGGTATATACTATACAGACATCTGGTTATATACCTAACATGATCTTCACTTAGTATAGATAGCGAAGAATGAGACTAACCGTGACTATCCATAGCTTCCCCTGCGCATTGGCTTGTAGCCTTATAATATTATTAAAGAGCATCTTACTATGTGGGTCACTCATAATAACAGGCTAGGTTAGGTTGAACTAGGAAATTTGATGGTATTCGCGGTGTTAGTATGTATGAAGACCCATAATCCCCAGGTTCGCGCTACAGGGATAACAAAGAATCCCTGACAAATTACTGATATGAACTTTTAGTCGTCTATAAGTGATAACGACGTGTATATTACTGTATGGAAAGTTATCATTGTTTTACTTGATTTAATCGCGTTCGTGAGTAAGTGACCCTGAGGTGCTGTAAGTATGAGTGTAGGAAGGGAACTAGTCATATATTCTGCTCAACGTGACTAAAAGCCTGAGAAGCACGTATTACATATACGAGTGTGCTATCTGTGGAACGTATGTACTAAGTCGTATCGCAATGAATTAAAGTCAAAGCACCTCAGCCCTATAAGGCGCGGCTATATCATAAGCTAATCTACTACATGGGCAGTTCACCACCACGGCCTCCATATTCCTTGAAACCTCTCAGTAAACGGATGATACGGGCATGGGATACGGGCATGGGTGGGTATCACGTATTCTGAATTGAAGCCTGGCGTATATCACATAGTCGAGTAGTATCCCAGACTAGAATGGACCCTTCTCTGTCTTGTTTCCGATGTGGTTGAAGCAGCCTAGAAAACCATCGTGATTCCAGATAACACGATCTGGATAATGGGTTAGTACTGTTAACACTGTCATTAATATAAGACAGGAAATCGTACTGAGATCGTAGGTAGTAGAGGCGAAACGGCCTTGGCCATTGAGGCAGTCACAAGTCAGGATGAAGTCGACGTTGCTCCCGCGAACCGCGCAGTTGCCGCAGGTAGACCAGTAGCTTCCACTGCCCAACATTCATGTTAACAAACCAAGAAAGATGTAAGACGCGGACAAGGTCTCATACCTGGCGTAGGGGTAGAGCTTGCCACCGTAGTTGGTTAGGCAGACGTTGGTGTCGAGCCTTTACCGAGTCTCCGAGTAAGTAAATACAGTCAAAATAGTCTTTGTCTATGAAGACTTACCAAGTCCAGTCGTAGCTGTACTCGGCCCAGTTGTTGTTGTTGCAGTACATTCCAAGGTAATTGTCTGACATGAAGCCAGTCTGCCAGGTGCAGTTGGAAACGAAGCCTTGAGCATTGGCTACTTGAGCAGCAGCTCCAATTACTACTGCGGTGATGGTAGTGAAGGACTTCATCGTGTTCATAATATAACCTTATTATGCCTTTGGTTGTTTTCGGTGATCCTTTCACAAGGAGTAAAGGAGTGACAGCTTCCGCGTTGTGGGAAGTGATGAGCATAGACAGCGAGAAGGATGGATGCGGATGAAGAAGCAGGCAATTCGACTGAGGTATGTGAGGGAGTGACTCAGTCGGATTATGATGTGTTGCCTAGAAAGAAAAAAAAGGGTTGTGCACCTGTTGTCAGCCGCGTATATACGCGCTCTACGCGCGTGTCTGATAGATTCTTAGAGAACGACTACATGTGGTTTGAGATGCATCTAAAGGCCAGGAGGTAGAATTAGAAGCACCACTACGGGACGAAACATATGTAACTGCCTCCTATAAGCTTTCATCTCAAACCGCACCAATACGATAGAGACGTTCTAATTATAAGTAGGGTCACGCTTTCCTCACGAAACAGCAAACCTCAGCATATTAAGGGGCAACACGTTAGGGATAACACGTTAGGGGTAACGCACCTACCTAAGCACATAATTACCTATGTTTTACCAACAAGTTGCGTATAAATTAAGTTTATTCACCTTGGGACGGAATAATTTGCTGTGTCTTGCGCCAAGGTCTGGCTTTCGTGTAAGCAGTGCGAGAGTCTTAGCACAAGTTGATATAAGCTCTCCGGTGTGTTCTATGCTGTGCATCCTATGTCGTGTATCACGAAGGGGCTCATGATTTTTAACTACAGTAACACGAAATAAAGAGACTCCCACAGTGTTAAGACCACTGAATGGATTTTGACCTTAGACAACAAATACAAATCTAAACTACTGTCCAAACTACTGCACCGTCACTTAACTATACATGGGTTGGCCATCTACCTATTCAACTATCATAAATATCTCTTAATTAGGTAGCTATGGTTCATCATGTATGTCATCCGGCGAGCTGAAAAGGGGAGTTGCTTTGTAGATATAGCAGTCCTCTCCATGGAACATTGGCTTTCATTGGTTGGCTTTGTATGCGTAACGCCTGATTAAGCTATCCCCCGACGGCTGGTATCACTTGGTAGTGTGATAACCCCCTTACCCCCCATTTACCCGGCTTTGTGAAGCGAAGCAGCTAATCAACCTTGAAACTATGTATCTATCCATACATTAGTGCACTTATACGGCAATGCGATAACCACGCATCTCAAGCACTCTTTTCCAAGTAGGCAATAGTCCGTATTAACCATGGATATTCTCGGGATGCCTCTGCTTAGAACGGTACTCGCCGGAGGCACGAGGCTCGGCCGGTCCATACGCCGACTCCAGACTATAAAATATCTGGCGACCCCGCCGTTACCTTCAGTCCTGCTCCGACCTACTAATCATCTTAGATTTCTTCATTCTTCGCCTGCAACTACGTCGCCTACCATGGACAAATTCGAAACCGAACCGACCAGCAGCTGGCTTGGCCATCGAGGTGCTGCTGCTTTTGACCTGAGAAGTAAGTCGTTGCCCCTTTAACCCAGCTTCTTATACTGGGTACTTAACTCTCATGCACACATAGGCGATACTATGACAACTCCAACTCAAGCTATGTTATTTGCTATTCAGAAAACGACGTTACTAGATGACGTGTTTCAAGAAGATCCGACCACCACAGACCTCGAGGCGCACGTAGCCTCACTAACAGGCAAAGAAGCTGGTCTATTTGTTCTCTCTGGTACGATGGGGAATCAAATCGCTCTACGTACCTTGCTCACCCAGCCTCCCCACGGCGTGCTGACTGATCACCGTTCTCACATTATCCAATACGAAGCTGGAGGGTAAACGCCACCGTCTACCGCTGTATCCTCCTGGGGGCTGACTATTGCAATACACAGTGTTGCATCTCTATCCGGTGCCATGATCAAGGCCGTAGTGCCTAGTAACGGCAATTACCTGACTCTAGAGGATATCCAATCCAACGTCACACTCGGGGACGAAGTGCATTCCTGCCCAACGCGCGTCATCAGCCTCGAAAATTCGCTAGCCGGCCTAGTCACACCCCTAGACGAGGTTCGCAGGATCTCGGAGTTTGCGCGGGGGCACGGCATACTTATGCATTGTGACGGTGCTAGGCTATGGGAGGTAGTCGCCTCCGCCGGCGGGTCGCTGCAGGACTTCTGCCAATACTTCGACACCGTTTCCCTGTGCTTCTCTAAGGGTCTAGGTGCTCCGATCGGAAGTATAATCGTCGGCAGTAAGCCACTCATAAAGCATGCGAGATGGGTGCGCAAAGCTCTCGGCGGCGGTCTGCGTCAATCCGGTGTCGTTACGGCCGCGGCTAGGGTAGCAGTCGACGTGACCTTCGGGAAAGGACCCCACGGCGAGGGTGGACTACTACAAGACACGCACGCGACAGCCAAGCGCGTGGAGAAGATGTGGACGGACCTAGGTGGCAAGGTGGATGTTCCCGTCCAGACGAACATGGTCTGGCTTGACTTACAATCCTTAAACACCACACCGTCCAGGTTTGTCGAATTAGGTCGACAAGCCGGCTTGAAACTGAATGGTAATCGTATTATAACACACTACCAGGTTGGCGAGGAAGCTCTCCAGAGATTGGTTGGTGTCTTTGAGAAAATCGCTGCTGAGAAAGGGGCTAGCCATTCCGACGAACCCTGTGAGACGGCTGAAGGCCTGGGTCCTTACGGAAGTAATCCTTAACGTGATGGGACGGGCCGGAGAAGTTGTGCGATCCTCGATTAGCCTGATTACCCTCACTGTACACATTTCTTAAATAACATCTCTCTGTATGAGGTGCGTACCAAACTAAAATTTCATATCCTTAAGAATTGTACCTTCAAGTACGTCAGTCGCGAAGGAGTAAATACTAGCAAACACAGAACAGTGCTCAAAAACGGCACTGTCATATAAAATGCCAAAACTCTGAGCTCTGGTGGTCTGCGCACAAGTCGTGCGATGGGAATAGATACGTTTGACAGTATAAGAGGTAACAGGAGAAAAACTCGCCCTGCTCTTCTTCTCAAGAACACCCGAAAATCTTAGAAATTACCCAGCTTTCTCTAGCGGGTCATACATCTCTCAGCATCACCTTTTCTCAAAACTTTAGGCTATCTAGATCTGGCTTTCTTGCCGTCCACGATCTGCTCCTCAACGCCTCCCTAACTTATTTGTGCAGAGGATGCCGTTATATACAACGCACATGGGATATTCTTAAGAGCCAGCTCCTTTTTAGAGTGCTCTTCATATATACGGTAGCCCAGATATTGACACGGTCCTCCCGCAATTTGTACCCTAGCGCCAAACTACTCCGACTCGAAGCAGTACTCCTCTTTCGATACTGGCTCATAATCGGGGGTATTATGCGTAAAAATGGCAGTTTGTAAACAAGAGACACAGCCTGGCCCCTAATCACCACGCTATTGGAATGGCACTTTGCTGCTTTTGTTGGATAGATGCTGCCACCGAACGCCGAGCAAGTTAAAACGACTCGAATCAATAACCGTGTAGTCCACCTCCGATTTTCTTTTCCTTATGTCTTCTTGCCGAAAATCGCCCGACTTTTTGACTTGCTTCGGCCGCGCTTCGATTTCGGGCTGCCAACATCATCGCTATATTTCGCCTTGTGTATCCTATAACATGATATTAGTCAAAAGCATTGCGCCACCTAGCCGAAAGAAAACTAACCAGCTATTCCCCGGCATACTCATGCCCTTCGCCTCGGCCATGCGGTAAAATTTGGCGCTTTTCTTAAGGTCTTTCTTGCAGCCCACGCCTTTAGCATAACAGAAGCCAGCCTCGGCAAGAGCATCAACATCACCCCAACCTATCAAATTTGTTAGATTACGCCTCGAATATTTCCTTCAAGGTTTGACTCACTGCCGGCAATTTCGAAGCATCGTAAAGCAAGTGCTTTATCCTGCTCGATTCCCCAACCATTCATATGGCTGACACCTAACTCATAGATGCTTAGAGCAAATTGGGCCTTGCGGGTTTTATGGTCCATGAAATCAACTGTTTTACCCTCCTTGGCATGATCCTCATCCTCTGCGATTTCGGCGCTCACAACATCGGCTGCCTTCCGTAGCCACTCGACACCTTCTCGCTGGTTCGCTCGCATGCCCCATCCGTGTCTACAAGCTAACGCATACAGTAGCATACCAGTCGGGTCGCCGGCACGCGCAGCAAATCGCAGGTGATAGGTAGATTCTTTTACAGAGCCCTCCTCGTGACACTTAATGCCCTTTGCCAAATGCTCTTCCGCACTCATTTCAGAGGTTGTAGGCGCATGAGAATGCTGTGACCTCGGTGGCCTAATGGTACTAGCCGAGTCACTTGTGGATACCGACATTGGCGTTCGTCCTCGGCCTTGGTCATGGAGTGGAGATGTAAGGGTGCGCCCCCTAGGCACATCCTCAGATGGTCTACTCGTGTCAGTTGAGGGACGACTTGGGTCAGGTGACGACTGTCTTCCTTCTAAAGACATCTCGTTGGAAAGTTTACTTCGTTCGATGGATGGACGTCCTAGGAGAGAATCGGCTGCGTGTTGACCTTCTTGCGTTCTCGACGAGGAACTCGAAGGCCTAGTAGGAGGCGATGGTGGCGCTTGACTACTCCTTTGCGGCTCATCGCGGAAAATAACCGAGTTGCGCTGTAATGACTTACCCCTCGGTAGTGCGTATTTAGAATAGATATATGAAGGAACACCTTTTCCGTCCTCGGTGGAATGACCATCTAAGAAAGCCTCACTGTGTATACTAACTGGGGTGTGTGCAGTCTCATCGGCAAGTACGAAGGATGGTTGGCTGTCCGACGAAGCTTGTCGAGTTGGTGGATCTAGGCCTGGCGTGCCAGTCCGGCTGAGCGGTCGAGAAAAGTTAAAAGCAGGACGTGGCAAAGGCGCAGAAGCCTCGGAACTAATCGAGGGAGATCTTTGGTAGTGCGCAATTGGCGACGCAAGACCCGGCCCCGAGAAACTACTGCCCGATGAAAGCTTCCGGGATGGTTGTGAGTAGAAAGAAGCACTCAAGGTATCGTCATTAGCATCCAAAGGTGCAGACATTATACTTGAAGAACGCTTGGGGAAGATAGACCTTGGCGGAACTAAACTAGCAGATTCATGGGAGGTCGTTTTGGTGAGCTTCTCTGGGGACGGTGGAAAGCGGGTGCTGGTGGGCGAAAGCTCTCTGGGTTCGATATCATGCTCTGTTGGTGTATGGTCCGTTGCCTTATCTGCTACACTTTCCAAGTCACCAGGTGATTCTTCTCGGCGCGCACCATATATTCCTTCATCCTCCTGGAGCTTTTCAAGGTGTCGACCGCGCGCGTTTTCGAGAAATGGGTTTGGAGGCACTGGTATCGATTGGTCGGGCGTGGGAGGTATGCGACTCATTCGAGGGTGCATCGAAACAGGCCGCTCTGATGGCGATTCCACCTCTGTAGTCAAACCAAGCCCGGTATTTTGCTGGGGGGTCTCAGGTCCTTCCTCAGACGAGTCGTAGGACATAGAGCGAAAGTATTCTGAACGACCTTGAACAATTAACGGGCTTTCTGTTGTCAATGGGGGTAGACGGCTCATCCGTCTCCCAGTTTTGGCGCTGTCCTCGAGCTGCTTGGCAAGCAAGCGGCTCTGAGCAGCGAAGGCATCAAGGGGGGATAAGGCGGGAGGAACCTCCCCAGCGACATGTAATCGCGGTGACCTTAGAGGACGAGAGGCACTGCTGTTGACCGAGGCTGACGAATCGGCCCTGAGGTCGATGAAATTAGGCCTATTGGCCATGGTAAGGCAAAAATTATCGGAATTGGTATCAAAATGGGTGTTTAGTAAATGTAATGGATCTTGAGATAAATCGTAGTGTTGGATCTCCTGATCCGCCTGGAGACCAGGCGACTAGAGCGGATTCAGGTGGTAACCGAATGCCGAGGAGGCGTAGTCCCCAATCCAACCGGATATCTAATATGTATTGGTAAGTCGAAAGCGAAGCTTGTGAAGGCGATACCCTAGGAGCGCATAAAACATCAAGTCGACTTTGTAGGTCTACCTAGAAAATGGTATGCGACAGGAATGTAGGATCGGCGTATTCAGAGGATCGAAGTAAGCGTAAACATGAGTCTATTGCTTAGGTGGTTAGGGTTGTAATGCACTACAGGTAGGTTTGCGAAGAAATAAAATGCCGTCTTCTTTTCGATACTGCCCGCGTAATATGTACGTAGGTGGCAGAAAGGCATACAATCAGATCCGAAGTTGACGAAAGGGGTGAAAGGAAAGAGAGACTGGGAAAAGTGATAGGTACGAATAATAACTAAGTTAGTAGGTTAAGTGTAGGTGCAAAGAACGGACGATGAAAGGTATCACCAAAGGAGTACCTAGCCTTAACAGCAGGGTCAACAGAGAATAGGAATAGAAAAGTGAATCTTTACTTTGTCAGCAAAAATACGTGTACGATAGTTAAGGAGAAGGTGAACAATCAAAAGTTTGATTTGAGATTACCCCAGGGTTCAATCGTCAGAAGGAGAGGGTCAAAAGAGCCAGGAAGCCAGGAGCCAGCAGCCAGGAGCCAGCAGCCAGGAGCCAGCAGCCAGCCAGATTGCTTCTAGTATTGCGTAAGGTACGTAGTACAGTGTAAGAAGGGACTTACCGAGCCCCTACTACTACTACTTAGGTTAGTACTATGTACACAACCGTACAAACGGCTGGGTAACCCCTACTGTTCCTAAGTACTGTCTGCCACACGGTCTCCCGAAATGAAAGTAATCCGGGGGCAGCCATTCCTTATTTGGTGAATTGGTATTTTGACATAGGAACTCGAATTAGCTAATATGTAATGCATCCTGCATCCTGCATGACAGGTCAATTAGTTACAGAGTTTGGTACGTATGTACTGTGCAATAAATTCAACTTGATGTACCTATTCAAATACAGGTCTGGGTATATCAAAATAGCCACTTAGGTACCTATGTATAATACCCAGAACGAAAAGTACATATGCTAACGCCACGCATAAATATGTAAGAAACAGACAACTCGTATTAATGTTTACGTTAAACTAAGCCCCTAACATCGCCTTCTAGCTCGCAAATAGAAACCAACTACGCCAGTAAACAGCAACTGGAAACAAATTGCATACGAATCCAAGTCTCAGCTTTAAAGAGCGGAAAATGGATCTGAAGTTAGTTACCCCTTGACGCCATTGCTTGGACTACATAGGTACCTGTAGTCTTAAAAGCCACTTGCAGTAAAATGATGTGGCATTTCCCCCCCAAATAAGGCTAGTGAATTCTAGGAGTATTAATATTAGCCAACCATCTAAACCCAGCCAGATATAGATGTACTAGTTATTACATGAAGATACGAGAATATTAAGTTTGCTCTCGCAGTCTCGGCACCAACCAGTTACGCTAATAGGTAGAGAGAGATCCCGCCGTTAGACCGTGCGGCCATGCAAGATTTTCAATATCTCATAAGCCACCAACCAACCAGCTACGTGTATTGTACCTTACCTCCGAACATTCAAATTCAGGGACAATTACATAATGTGTCCAGTACCTGGTTCAGCTGATTCTTCGGGAGATTGACGTCAAGGGGCAAAATTATTTGGCAAATAATAAATAAGCCTTCATCAAGAAAGATTATATGCACACGTTCGGACATATTATATGTAAAGAATCAAAATGTCGGCATATCAAATACATGAGACTAAGACGACATAACATCAAGGAGTCTAGCCAGTCGTAGTAAAGGATGACAATAATAATAACTAGCTGTTTGATGTAACTCGGTATAAAGGAACAGGTATTATTGTCACTTTTGTGTTTATCTAAGCCACCCGCTAGAGTAATGGTCTTCTACAACCTTAAGTGCTATATCGAGAGCAGCCAAATCGGCCGGTTAAATCCTTCCACAAAAAGTAAAAATACACTACCCCGAATAAGCCAATGCTGACTCTCGACACAAGCTTAAAAATAACAATCTAGCGGAATATTACACTTGAGCATCTTAATTAGGAAGACTGATAAGACTGATAAGGCTGATATCCAAATCTCACCGGCAACTCCATTTTCCTATGCGTTACGGAAACAAGCAAAATAACCTATCATGACCAGGCGTTTAATTTACATTTGAAATAGTACCCAGTAGCACTTTCTAAAGATTTTTTGATTGAAGCTTCTTCAGCCTCGTTGCACCTTCGTACACACCCCTATCAACCGCTGCAGCTACTGTCAGCGTACCACCGATCACAGCACATAGACCTGTTAGAAAGCCGGTGAAAGTTTTAGCACGTTCCTCGCGATTGATCACTTTCATTGGGGAGATGTCCTATTTCATGTTAGTAGTTGTTTCGATAGGTAGGGGCCGAACCGAACACTCACGTAAGAAAAGAATACACCAGGGATGCCGCCTCTCGCGTGCATCCGTTCTTGGTGACCTTCAGCTGCGTCATCACCGCCGGCCAAGCTTCGCTTGTGGCTTGTGACCGAGTACTGGTGAGTCTCCATGCTGCCATCAGTTGCGTGGCCCAGGCCTCCCAACCAGGTCTCGTCGTCAAGTTGTCTATTGTGTCCGTTCGCTGTTGACCAGCTTAGGGGAAGATACGCAGTAGGGACAACCTTGACAAAGTACATAAAGTTGAAGGCGGGATCCTCGGTGGTCTGCTTGACTTGGTCAAGAGGGTTGATATGGTGGTTAGTCCAAGGGCTGTTTTTAGCATGCTTCCGCGTAATGTCTTCGGGGAGCTGAGGTCCGAAGCGAAGTTGGTGGATCTCGTGCTCAAATGAGTGACGAACCGGGCTATCCCAGTAGTTCTTTAGATCGTGAACGTGCATGTTGCCGCTGCTGAAACTTCGACCGGGCGCAAAGTGAAAGTTACCAATAACTTTGTTGACGCGAATCGCGCCCTCAATTCGGCACCCCTCGTGTCTCTGCTCGTCCAACCTCTCGGCGTAGTGTTCCCGCAAGCATTGCTCGACACCTTCACCCCTACCAAAAGCCCAAGACGCCTGCTGGTATGCGTCCCGAACCTCGTCACAGGTATTACAGCAGCCGGGTTTCGCGGCATTGGCGGGAGCAGGGGCGCCATAGCAGGGGCCACAGTAGTTGGGATCTAGGTGCTCAGCGGTTTCTTCCTTGCCATGGCTGAGCTGGTTAGCCGGGTAGAATTAGAACAGATAGTAAGGTGATCTGACTCACAGAGATAAAGCGGTCACATCGATGACGCCGCCGCCTTGCGTAATTGGTTGCAGTCTAACTTTCTTCACACCATGTAAAACACCATGCTGTTGCTCACCAGAGACATCCATCACGTCAAGGGTTAGGAGCTCGCAAGGCAGCCTAGGGAAGGTGATATTCATATGAATTTCCATACGCTCTCCTGCGATTGAGGGTGTAAGAAGCTTGAATCAAGACAGGGGAGCATATTGTTATTAACCCACCTCTGCCTTTATCGACGATAAGTTCGGGGTGGATAACTATCCTCCTGTAGTCGGACCATTCCCCCCAGGCAAGATAGAAAACGATGATCAGGGATACAATGGTGACGATTCCGCCCGAGGTAGTTCGTATGCGCGCATCCTCAACGGTCTTGGTAAAGGCATCTAGCCTTGTGAATCTCGATTTCGGAGGCATGTCGGATAGGTTGCGCGGGTCAGATCAACTCGAGTTTCTGCGCGATGGGAACAAAACCTTGACTAGGTCTATTTTTTAGTACCTACGTTATGTAAGGTAGGTAGGCCGTAGGAAAAATCAATGGCAAGGTAAAACCAGAACCAATAGAGAGAATTATATAAAATCACCGTAGACGCCGCATTGGAATGTCTGGGCTCAGCGTGGAGTAAAGAATGGAAATCACAATACGATCAAGAAGCTAGGATAGATGCAAACTTGAGATATGTCATGTGTGTACATATTAAGATACGTGTATAAATCGAAAGGCCACATTCACCTTTCCAGCGAACAATTGAGCCGAGTCCCAGGGACCAGCTGCATGTACTAGGGTCCGTTTAGAGGCGGGCTAGAACATATGTATGCGCCTACCAGGTAGGGAGCTTACGTACATATGTACAAGGGTTTAGATGCATCACCATGTACATAAAGCAGACTCGAACTTAAACTCAAGTACCTTTCTAAAATTATGCTAATCAGGCAGGTACCTCTCCACATCTTCTAAGAAGTGATTGTTGGTTAGCTTCAGAAACCCTATAACTTATATTAGCAAGACTTCACCATACTTATTCCTTAACCTAGACTAGTTACCTATTATTATATTAGGTCCAATCTTAGGACCCTTAGTAGATCACCCAAAGAGACATGGTGTATTTCTCACAGTTATAGCTTGTTAATATTGTAAATCAGATATGCATTTCATTTATGTTGCAGCCTCTCATCGTAAAGCCCCCTCATGGATTTGATTTTATGACCCAGTACTTATTGTATAGAAGTAAGAAACGCATACTTTATACTCTTTCATACTGACAATAGTTATTACAAATATCTTAAATATGTAGGCTATTAGACCACGTTACAGTGCCTGTATGTTTACAGACCCATCTTGACATATATCATGTAACACACCTTACCTCCTTTATCGTGCCCGGCCGGGATTTGCGATCCACCGAGCATCATAAGAGGATAACTCAACTGCTCGCTGACCGAAAGAATCCCGTTTTCTTAACTTCCGGTCGACATCCGCTGCTGTCAAATTACCACAATCTGGTCGCTTCAGCTTGTTGCCAAATGTGTCGACCGCCCAGATCAGCACGCCATTTGTCCACCCGAATCCCTCGACAACTTCGTACTCTCCTCCTCCGCCGGCAACGTTAGTCGAGTCGTCAGCGTCTATGAAGAGTTAGTAATTACTAAGGCCTAAAAGGTTTGCTGTATAATGAGGTATGCGTTCAGGAGGCATGGGGATATATGATAGAAGGAGTAACGGACATACTATAATCATGTTAGCCTTAGTCTGGAACACTCTGGAACTGCCATACGTACCATTTCTCAAACATAATTCCCACATTCTCCGGACCAAGTCCCTCTAGTTTTGGTGTCTCATCCGTAGAGCCACCCGTCGCCCGCCACGTACAAAACGTGCTATCTAAATAGCGCTGCGCCAACTTAAGAGAAAGGTCCTGGGTTTCGAGATATGCAGGATCCTCTTTGCCGAAAGTCGCAGGGGTTTTGAGCAGACCCTTCATGAGCACATACATCAGTGGCGGCCAGACATTCGGTTGATCCCACTGCTGGCCGGTTCGGTAGTTTGTGGCAGCGATACCACCGGCTTTCTCAGAGACAAGGTCTGAAACGCGCTCGAACGCGAGCTTCACGGCTAGGGGATTGTCCCGGAGTGGCGGAGGAGCTGCGCCTAGCCAGAAGGGGTAGAATTGAGCGCCGTGGAAAAATACCTGATAGCCTTCGGGGGCATCTGCTTTCTGCGCTGAGGTAGTGTCCGCGTCCGATGGCACGTAGAGGTCTTGCGCTCCCGAGGTTAGGTTGTAATCAAAATAGCTCATGTACTTATCGTTCCACATCAGCGCATACATGGCTTCTGACCGATTCTTAGCTAGCTGCTCGAATTCCGTAGCCAGCGTGCTATCACCACTCTTATCTAGATAATCTGAAATGACCATCTCATTGGCATATAGTATCGAGTTTAGGTCTACAGCGACTATGTTGTTGGTATTGAGAGAGCGTAGCGGGAAATAAACGTCCCTGGCGGCATCTGATGGGTTGGCAATGAATCGTGTGTTGTAATCCCATCCCGATTCAGCTCCCGCGCCAAGATTAGAGTAGAGCTCGGCCTTCTCGCTGTCATTTAGAGGATGCGATTCGGGATAAATGATACCGGAGGCTGCGTAGTATGACCTATTGTTGGCCGTAATGTAGTCCTCGCGATATGACTGCATCGTAAGTCAGATGTATACGCGTGATAAGAGATTTGGCAGTTTGGCAGTTATATAACTGTTAAGCTTGTGGGAATTTCTAGGCTTAAGAGAAGAAAATGACATTATTCACATACCTCTGGTCGTGGCTCGGTGTTTTGGACCTCATAACTGCGTATTTTATATTAGAACGTAGGGCGTCATTAAACCACAATCCTTGGACGTTACTTACTGGGCAAGATGAAAGGTGTCACCCCCCGACGTGATTGCTAATGTGCGGTTCTCTATCCAAAAGTTATGCTCCTTAATGAGCAGAGGCAACGCGCGTTCGAGGAGGCTCGTGTCGTTGGTATAGTCAATATACGTCTTAACCATCTGCGTCAGGAGGGGCGGCTGGGAGCGATTCAGATAGTCTATTATGTGTTAATTCCCTCGCCATTATCATAATCTCTCACTCAACAGACACCCCTGCTAAGCAGGGCCACGTATGTGAAGAGAATGTGGAAATATGTGGTTAACGTACTATAACTGAGTTAGCCTCTGTGTTTTGAGATGCTTTTTTAAGTGTAAGGATAGTCAAGGGAATGGGTACATAGAGCTGGGAGGTGGAAAAGAATAGTGATTGTCCATTCGTACCATATGCGTGCACCATTAGGAACAAATCCGAATTGCTCAACGAAATCAAGGAAATTTTCGATGATATTTCTGATAGTGTGTTAGTACGCTAAACTCGTATTATAGTCATAGTGTTAGGAGGTAGGTAGACAGCTAACCTGGAGACCTGAGTGAAACTGCCACCAGTCCTTAGCAAACCCTCTAGAATCCAGAACGAGTCCCAGTAGTAAGGCTCTCTGAACCGGCCACCGGCGACGACGAAAGTGCGATTGATCGGAATGAAACTATCGACACATCCCGTGCAGTTGCTGGTACCCACATCTACAGATCTCAGTGTTAGTGTATTCAGACATGGTCTGATCTATTTCAAGATCGCCCGTTTCAACACACTGCTTACAAGTCCTGGTCAAATCGGGCCATATATCAATGACCTTTTCTACAAATTGTTTGACCACAGAATCTTCAATATCATCTAGGAACGCAGGATTAGTCTCGAGCTGGTCTCTTGGAACTTGAGCTAGCTCGGTCCCGGCTTGGCCAAAGTAAGTCGACAAGAAATCGTTAAGCTCTGTATTGTTACTGAGAGGCTTAGCGAGCTTGTCGAAGGCTGCAAGAACTTCATCTAAGGGCGCCTTTGTCGGCCTGCTTATCTATTAGCTGATGCAATTTTAATCTGAATGATGCTTGACAATTACAAGTCTACGAATGTCTTGGAATCGGAGAAAGGCTGAGCTAATTCGATCTGTTTTAGGACGTCACCTTGACAATAGAGGGGCGAGTCGCAAGCCGCAAAGGACGAGCCATTCTGGTAGAGACTGGAGACGATAGGAGACAAGACGAAAGCCAATACCGCCGTTAGGCGCCGTAGGCCTGTCATGTTTTATACTACGTCTAAGCTTCTGGTGTGACGATGAGCTAGATCATACGGGATCACAAGTCGAACAATGAGAGAGCAGGAACAAGATCACTCGGAGCGACGGTAACTTGGGGAAACACGAGAGACTCGTAGGTAAATTTATAGATTGGCCAGCTATGTAGACTGCATGGTTGCTGGAGTAAACACTATGTAACTCGGAAGCTCTGGAAGCTATCTGCTGTTTGCAGGGGGGAGCCAGGGCAGCTTGCTGTGCCTGCGTATACCCCGGTTGGGGTAGTGGCTGGGCAAGCAGGCACAGTCATGCCATCTTATACTTGCTTGTGATGTTGACCTATACTAACTGGGACATTTATTGACGAAGACAAAGTTGGTTGTGGGGATAATATCCAGGCAGTCTTAGCTGTTAATGAAAGTAACCCTTCCTACATAGGTAACCAGGGATATAGACCGAGCTATCCGAGTAGGGCTTTCTGGAACTTGGCTATATACCTAGGTGAACGCATCATATGGTTATTGAGTAACAACAGGGACTATGTAGGGACGTGGATAGTTAGATACGAGAGATGTTCCTGGGCATGCATGTTCTAATAATTTGATCGTCGAATAGGACCGTTCTAGCTTTTAACGCATGCGGAGAAATGGGAACCCACTCTACCGCAAATCCTTGAGCTTAGTAAGCTGCTCATTTAGTTATTCGAATATTGTGTAAATTATAATAATTGGATTCATGAAAATTCATAGGATTAGCTTTGTACCTGATTTGCTACTAGATCAAACACCCAAGGTTGTGCGACTGGGAAAGCCCATACACACCTGCTATATATATCAAGTCCGTGACTTATAATTGGTGTTAGTAGGGCCATGATAAAATATCATATACACTAAGCACCTAAAGTTATGGTGTTTAGTTCTGCTAACTGAAAGAGACTACGCGATAGATAACTGGACATTAGTCGTATCAAACCTTCACATATAGAGTTTTGTGGTTGGTTGGGATTTGGTTATCTAAATATCAATATTGAGGCATTAGGGTTGATATTCTGAAGAGCACTTTGCATAGGTAGCCATAGGTGAAGCTCGTATGAATTTGTATCACCGATGGTTATTCATCGATTACCCTGGCTGTGAATAGGACAATACTCTTGTATTACCACGGGATATCGGTACAGACGATTATCGTTGCATTTCCTTCCTCGTTCCTCACGAGTCAATATCCATCTGTTCTCCCTCTGCAGACTCTAGCTCTTGCACGCTGACGTACTTTCCGATCTCGTCTTTGGTGATAATCTTTTCGTTGAGTACTGCTGTAGTACCACGCTTGAATTTGTAGTTCTTGAGTTTCTGGCTACGCTCATTCGGCTTGACGAAGCCACGATGTAAGGTGGTTTTGTCTGCGGTAATGACGGCCAAGTCAACGTTCGATCCGGAACCAAGATCGTTGAAAATACCGGCTTGAATGGCTTGTGAACAGAGCTGCATGGCATCCTCCTTGGTACCGTTCGGCTTCCACTGAGATTCGAAGACGGACATAGCTGCCAGCGATCCGGAACCCATAGTCACATAAGGAAGCTTGTCTGTGCTACCGTGGGCATGAACAGTGAATAAGTGAGTTCCCGTGGGATCAACACCGGCAACTACTAGATACGCTCCGATGTGACCTTGGTATCGGAATAAGTGCTGCTTGAGGAGGGTCATGCAAGTAACGACGCGGGGTTTCCGACCGGTCGAAAGAGAGTGCAACTCGAGTTGAGAAGAGATAAGGGCGGTGGTGAACTCTGTATCAGCGGCGGTACCCGCACCAGCGCACCAAATTTGGGGTGAGATATAATGTAGCTTCTCACAGTTCTTGTCAGCGACGATGGGGCCGCTGGTGGCTCGAGTATCAGCTGCGATCTGTTTGTTGCCAGCCTTGCATTAGTGTCATCATTCTTAACGGGGAGCTGGCGATGATATTGAAAAATGACTGACCACAACGCCTCCATCGAATATGCACCCGACGATCGTAGTACCCGTACTGGTCGCCTTTGGCAGCGGGACACCTCGGGCGTGAAGAGCCGCATTGCGATTGTAGTTTGAGAAGTCGAAACCAGGCATGCTGGCTTGGTTTGTGGCGGTACTCTTTTTTTCTTCGGGATAAGTTAAGGTACGGAGCTTGGATGCGATACGGTGTCGAGCGGTTAAGTGTTGGTATCGTAAAAAGGATATCAACTGGTGGTAGTTGGAATCTTGAATTTAGATCCAAGTAGCAATGAAGGTAGAATGCGGTTGTTTGCTGCGAATTGGGTAGAACAAGGCGGATGACGACCAGGAGCTAGCTGCCTGCATTGGACCTTACCTACCTTCAATGCTCTTCCAGCTGTTACAGTGCACGCGTTCTGCCTACCTGCCTGCCTGCCTAAAAGAGGTACATACTGTATGTATGTAGAAGAAGGTACTTAGCTACTTATAATTTACACCATAAAAATAGAATGGAGGGGAATTATATAAGTACCTCATGACATGTATAAGGTACCTAGGGAGGCATAGCAACCAATCCTCGCTACACAGGTACCTACATGTAGGTAAGCTCCGATGCGGCAGCAGGGGTAACGCGAACATCTGTAGGTACGTTTCTAGGTTAGTATGCAGGTGGTAATTTTACCTCTTAGGCGCATCTCGTCTTACAATTTTGAGCTCGACTTTCTCGCGCCAACTGTAAAACACATTTCATTGTTATTATCCTTTTTAGACCACTGTCATATGCCCTCCTCTACGGAGACAGGCCTGTTTGCCTGAAAGATACTTCTACACTCGAAAGTGTCCTAACAAGGCAAACACCGAATAGCTTAATCCACTGGGTTCTATCTCGGAAGCTTTGTCCTTTAAGCCAACTGAAGATTCCGATACGACCAACTCTGTCTACTAATGTGATAGCTAGTATTCCATGAATACCTTCCTGTGAAACTAGTATCCTATTTTGCCATAGCAATGGCATTCAGCTTCGGAAACGTGGGACAGGCAGCTGGGGATGCCGCCCAAGGGCCACCGGAACCTATTCAGACCGAAGCCCTCGGATTCCTGTCGTTGTCTGGTGATGCTAAGCTACGTTTAACGTCGCAATGGTCTCCGCCCCCCTCCAATAATGCTTCCCTTCTCAGCATCGCGTCGCAACAAGGTCTTGTTGCTGCCGCTGGTCCTGACGGTGTCGTGCTGGCCCCTACGGAAGCTGTTCGAAAAGCATTCTATAGCCCTAAAGATGGCGACGATGATGTCCGAGCTTTCGAGTCTCCATTAACGTTACCCTCACCTATTCGAATATGCCAATTAGCTTTTACGACTGACGGAGCCTATCTGATATTGTCGGCTGAGGAACGTGGAGGTTTAGCGGTATATGAGACCCAGGCCCTACAGCAAGGCTCGACCGAGACCGCTTTCGAAATACCCACGAATGGCGAGCCACTTAGGGCTTTGGTACCAAACCCTAGCCAGGAGAAGAGCGAACTATGCGCCGTTGTGACGAATGAAGGCAAACTTTTGATGGCGAACATGAAGGAACGTGGTTTTATATCAGGATCTACCGGACAGGTTTTGAGGAATCAAGTTAGCTGTGTCGCTTGGAGCAATAAGGGAAAGCAGTTGGTGGCTGGCCTTGGTGACGGTACTATACAGCAGATGACACCCGGTGGTGAAGTCAAGGCGGATATCCCCAGGCCACCGGATTTGGATGCAAATTACTTTGGTAGGTCCCTTGTTTACACCCGGTAACTTTCTAAACTAATAACCGCCTAGTTTCGTCTTTAGTTTGGCTCGAGAAGGATCTTTTCCTAGCATTTCATGTGCTTGCTTCAGAAGAGTCTCCCCAGACTAGGTGCCATCTGATCACAAGACAAGGGGAGAATTTCCAATTCCAAAAGCTCAGCGACCCCGTAGAACCCTTTGGCAGCAATCGGACTCCCCATCATACTCTTGTGCGGTTGAAGGACTTCCCACCAAATCTCCAAGACCTCCTGATTTGCTCCTCGACAGCTAGAGAAGATATTGGTCTTTTTACGCGTTCGAAGACCCCGCTGGCCCCGGGTGCTCCATCGAATATCTTCACTACTACCGAGTTGGCCGATGATTCTAAGCGGGCCACTTTACCGATGGGTGAAGGTATGGAGACCCCGGCAGTAATTGGTACAGCTCTCGATTTATCTAGTCGAGAGAAGGTTTATAAACCTATACCTACTGATGAGATAGATCAATCTCCTGGCCCATTACCAGGTTATTGGGCTTTGAATGCCGAAGGTATACTTTCTATTTGGTGGTTTGTATATTCCGAATCTATTAGGGGAGGGACTACGTATCCGGGGATCGTAGCTGTAGAAGGCAATGCGGCAAGCTCTACTGAAACGACGACCCCTAAACCTGTCCAACCAAACCCATTCGGGGCCTCGAATCCCCCTGTTTTTGGAGCTCAGTCAGCGGTAGTAGGGACGGCGTTTGGTAGCACCTCGGCATTGGGCTCAAAGAGTTCGCCCTGGGGAACCCAGCCTTCCTCTAGTGATGCTAATAAGCCTGCATTTGGATCGAGTACTTTTGGCGCTGGTGCCGCTTCCACGGCGCCGAAATTCGGTACACCTGCGTTTGGTACATCAAGCTTTGGTACCAGTCCCGCACCGGCATTTGGGCAATCTACCGGGCTCGGTACAAGATCTTCGCCTTGGGCTTCAGGGTCTGCCTCAACTGGCACGCCTGCTTTCGGTCAATCGGGCTTCGCTAGCATCGCTAATAACCCTAATAATGCAGGCGGAGCTATGGGATCGTTCGCAGGCTCAAATCCCGGTGCCGCGAATTCAAGTAGTGGGTTTGCTAGTTTCGCAAACAAGGGCGGCTTTGCTTCCATTGGAACTAATAATTCTTCTAGCGGATTGAGCATATTCGCATCCACGAAGCCGGATGCGCCTGATGTCTCTATGGACACAGATACTAGCTCCATATTCCGAGCTCCAAGCTCTAAACAAAGTACGGGGACTGGAAGTGTTTTTGGGTCACAGCCGTTTAAATTGACGTCTAGTTTTCAACGCGATCCGAATGCGGGAGATGATGATACTGATGAAAAGACACCGAAGACTGAAAAACCGTTATTCGGCTCGGGCTTCGCAGCTACAATAGATGAATCAGCAAAGCCTGTAGCCGCGAGTCCACTCGCGACCGGGGCACAGAGTCCCTTTTCGAAGCCAGCGCCATCATCGAACGTGGAGTCAACTACGCCAACATCGACGCCCGCGCCATCCAAATTCATGTCCCCCACTTCGTCGGTGTCGCAAAGCAAAGGAATCTTCGGATTTCAACCGAAAACTCCTAGCGGCCTTAGTAGCGTTTTCGGATCTGCAGTCTCTCAGACACCAACATCTGAAACTCCTCAAGTGAAAGCGGAGCCAGAAACTCCTAAGCCCCTTAAAGGTATTCTAGACGTACCTCTTCCTCCAGAGTCTACTAGCAAAGATGCTTACTCATTAGGCGACTCCTCGACATCATCTGCCACTTCAGAAGTCAAGGACACGCCTCCCAGGGCCGAAGATGCACCCTTACCTCCTGGTTTCGCGGACTCGACTCCTAAGCAAGCGGTCCAGGAGGCCTCACGCAAACCATTACCTGTTGCTAACGATAGCGCACCTCTGCCACCGGATCCCGTCTATAATAAGAAGGCGTACGACGCTCCTCTGCCCCCGCTGCCTGGGACTGTTACTAAGCCCAAACCTGTCGATGACTCGCCCCTACCACCGGATCCTGTAAAGCAGCCGAAAGCCTACGAAACTAAGCTACCCGCACTTCCCATTGCTAAGCCAGTATCTGAAGTCATTGGGCCTGGATTCAAATTTCCAACAAATCCTCCTCCTGTTCCGTCAGATAGTGAAGATGATGACCTATCTGAAGAGGAGGAAGAGGAGGAAGGCACCGAGGCCATTAGTGAAGGTAGTGGTGTCGATGTTGCTAAAGATCTCAGCCCTTCTAGTACGGGTATTAACAAGACCCCTGGGTTTACACCCCAAAGCTCATTTGATGGCTTGGCAGGAAGCTTCTCTACTATATCTCGTCCAGATCAAGACCGGCGAAGCGTCTTTGGCGAATTGAGCCGGAACGCTCCAATTTTCCCCCAACCAAACCCCGTTAGTCCCCGTTCACCAAGCCCAGTGCGAGGCTCAGTATCGACAAGAATGCTTGGTAGGGACCAGTCGCGATCCTTTAGTGCACCTGGTATGGCGTCTCAAATTCTTGGTGCATCTAGACGACAGCAATCCCAGCTCGGTCCCTCGGTTCCGAACGCCGCCTATCTTGAAGATATGATCGAGAAGCAACGGAAAGCAAAGGCTAAAAAAGAAGCCGAGGAAAAACAGTTGCTTCTTGACGAAGAGGATGATGCTGTTCAAAATCTGCTGAAAGCAGAACTCAAGCCAACGTTGGAGCTTGACGAATTCATCGCACACCCGGGTGCAGTGCCACCAGCAGGTGATAGTGTGCCCTCGCAAGTCGAAGCTGTGTATCGAGACATCAACTCAATGATTGATACTCTTGGTCTCAACGCACGATCCCTCGCGGGCTTCATTAGAGGACATAAAGAGCTCTATGCTAAAGAGTATACGAGACATGACTTGGCTATCCCGGACGACTGGACCCTAAACGGACTTGAGAGTTTAGCTCACATCATTGACGATGATCTGACCAATGCTCTCGAGGAGGCGAGAGTGGGGGACGTAGCTGGAAAGCTTGCAGAATGCGAAGATATTCAACGTGAGCTTACTCGCGATCGTAACAAGCAGGCAGATCTCAAGAAAATTATTAGCTCGCATGTTGATCCCGAACAGACTATTGCAAACCGTACTTTACCTCTTAGTGCCGAACAGGCAGCACAACAGAGCGATTTACGACGAGAATACGCAAAGTTTACAAAGCTATTAACGGAAGCAGAGGAAAACTTAACTCTGCTCAAGGCTAAGATCGTTTCTACCAACGGCACTAATGGGAAGGGTGGTCCAACACCGACTATCGAAGCGGTTGTGCGCACCATCACTAAGCTGACCACCATGGTCGAGAAACGTAGCGGCGATATCGACGTCCTCGAGAATCAGATGCGAAAGCTGGGTGTTAGTTCGCACGGCCCAAACAGTCGCGAGGGCTCGCCCTTCGCCACGCCAAACGCTAAGAGACTATCTGCGTCAGTATTCTCTCCAGAACGCTCAATGCGGGAGAGCACACCGCAGCGTAGTAGTGTGTTCCGCCACTCTGTATCAGGGAGTATCGGCGGAGGCATGTTTAACACTCCGCCACGCAAGAAGCTGAGCGGCTTTGGGGACGCGGAGAAGAAGGCTGTGAAGGAAAAGCGGGAGCGTAGGACGGCCATACTCGGGAAACTTAGGGGTAGCCTCCAGAAAAAGGGCGCGGGTGTCTGGGCTGTGGATGATATTGAATAGGAATCACACATCGGCAGGTAGTAGCTACGGTCACGATCAATGATAAGAATAAGTTACGAGACCGAGGCATTGTATGTTCGAGTTTGTAGGAGGTAGTGTTGGATGCAGAGATATTTTACTACAAGAAATATGCATTTCTAAGGTAGAATGAAGTTGCCTAAGCACCTCACATAACACAAAATTTCTCTCGTCGCAAGGTCAATTAATTGTAAGCTTATGCTAGTCAAGAAGTAGATAGTATCTAAATATCCTAGTTCTTCTAGCTAGGCTATAGGCCAGACAACCACAATACCGCACCACAACTCACCATGTCATCTCATCGTTCGACAAATGCCATTTTTCGGGCTGGGTATAATACAGACACATGCACGGTAGCCAGCCCACGTTACTCATCCTGACACAAGGGCCACAGCCGGAAGCGCTCCCCCCCCAACAACGAAACAAGAGTAGTAGTAATAGTAATAGAAAACCTAAACACGAGCACTTATACGAAGCCAGCAACGCCTCCGCTAACGGCCTCGAGCCTCGCAACGAGTTTTTTGACATTAGTCCACTCCTCGCTCCTTACCGCCTCCTTCCCACCCAGATCAGGCCCAACTTCAAACACGCTGACAACAGCATCAATACCACCAGTCGCTAGCTTCTTCCCCTCACTACTTTCCCAAGCGATCTTATTCAGGCTCTTGCTGAGTAACTGTCGCCCGTCCTTTCGAGGCGTAGGACTGATCTTGGCGACCGGGATCTCTGTCTCGACGGTGATATCCCAGAGCTCTAAGGAGCCTGCACCATCGACGAGGGCGAAGACGCCGGGGCGCACAGGGGACCAGGCGGCATCGTAAACGACGTCCTCACGCACGAAGTCTAGTAGCGGGGGCACGGCGGTGCCGGCGCTCTCGACGATGGTGCTTGTTGCGGCGGGGGCGCGGACTTTCCATAGCTTGACGGACCAGTCGAGGGAAGAGGAGAGGACAAGATCGCCCAGGTCTACGGGGCCGCGGGCTGGGTGGAAATCGACGCTCATGACGGGAGCAGCGTGGCCCTTATAGGAAACGCGAGAGTCGACGCCTGCCTTGGCGCCGGCACGGTCGTACCGGTGGCATGGGTAGATAGGACCTTCTTCCGAGCCTACGAGGAAGTATGTTGGATCTGCTTGAGGAAAGGCCATTGTGGTTGGTGCGAGATCTTCGAACTTGTTGGGAGGTGGTGTTGTGAGAGTAAGCGATTCTTGCGGCTGGGAAAGCATATCAACGCTCCACACGCAAAAAGCGCCGTCGGTAGAAACTGAAATAACATTGTTCGCATTTTGTGTACCGACAATATCGACAGAATAGACGGGATGCGTATGGCCCGAGCCTGTCAACGGTGTTTTTTGTACAGGGGCAGATTTGGACCGGGTATCCCATAGGAGTACCTGCCCGGAATATGTACCGCCTATGATTAAGTTGGGGTGGAAGGGAGAGAATCTTGCAGTGAGAATATCAGACTGGGCATGGAAGAGGAATTCGGGTCGGTCGTGGAGATGTTGATTCCACACTTGCACAACGCCATCGGGGTCGTGGGGAGCAGACGGGTTTTTGGTGTAAGATGCCAGCAGCAGCTCGGGGAACTTTGGTGAGAAGTCAATGCTGCTAATCATACGCTTCTTAGACCACCGCTCATCATAAAATTGCACAACTTCCTTAACTCTCCGGCGTCCCTTTCCGCCCGTGTTACCTGCCTGCTCATCCTCGTCCTCAATGTCGTGGGCTTGAAGTGAATAATCTGTCAATATGTCATACTCATTGCTGATATCAAGTGCTCGCTCAATAACTTTCGTTGAGCGTTCCACAAAATCAACAAAGTCGTCAGATGCCACAACAGCTGCTAACTCCTCGTTATTCAATGCCCTAGCCGGGAAATTCGAAGTAACAACAGAATTGGCCTGTAAGGGTCCATCGGTAATCAACTCCCGAGCAGCCTTCAATTCCTCTTCAATTTCTAATCGTAAATTCTGACGTAATTCCTCTTCTCTGTCGCGTTTCCATCTGCTCAGCCGCTTGTTGGGAGTAGATGTGACAGGAAGGTCCTCATCCTCGAGATCTGAAAAGGCTCGAGGCCTGGTAGCCGGGGGCGTCCAGTCGTCGGTAGTTTGCACGCCTTTGCTGTAGGAGAATATCTCCTTAACAGGAGATGGCGGGCACTCGAACACGGTTTGGAGGGGTACCGTTGTTAAGACCTGCGGCTGGGTTGAGGCAGGATGGCCGTTCACCTGGGAAGCATATTCTGAATGTGAGTGTTCACCGCTCAGGTCGTCGGCACTGAGGACGCTGTTGGGCCGACTTCCTCGTAGACCAGGGGATGCCACACCCGTCGTGGAAGAGGCAGGTCGACTTTCACCCACTAGACTATTAATCAAGGACTCGATGACCTTGCGATTGTCGCGACCCGGAGTGGGGGAGATGAGCTATGATGTGAGTTAGTGTAGGAAGAGATAGAAGCGTAGTAACCAGGATGAACTGACATCGCTAGGCCCACCGGTTATGTTAGGTCTAGCAACAGAGGCTGCCTGGCTAGCTCTTAATTCTCGTTGTCTCTTGAGTTCGGCGAGTTTCGCCTTCTTTGCCAGAATCTCATCTCGTCGTTGTTGCATCTTGTACTCCACCGAGACCCATGCCGGGTGCGGTCTCTGGCTTATAAGGAAAACGGATCTAGATAAACCTAGGTGGCCGAGGATTTGTTGGTTTATTGTATTATGTACGAGATAGGTGAATGGTGTATTGTATATCTTTAGTGGTCTATTAAACGGAGCGCAACGGTTTCGCGCGTATGTAGTGGATGTTAAAGTTTAAGGGGATCGCAACGGTTACTGAGATTCTAACGGGCGCTACGTCTACCTTAATTAGCTGTACCTTAATGAATGCGCGTTTCTTTGTCGGGACATCGCGACGCCGGTAGCATCCGTGCGTCCACCTAGGTAGGTAATTTGCAATTTGCATGTGTACCTACGGCCTGCAGAGGTCTCAAAAAATGATGTTACTTGGGCAGTTACCTACAGTTCTGTCTTTCTATTGGTTCATATTAGTCTTAATGTATTTGTTTAACCCCCACTTATTTAGCTCGGCTCGTACCACCACATGTATCGACATTCTCTAGCAGTGGCTTCTGGTTTTGTAAAAATAAAAAATAAGTATGCGAAATTTCCCGACGCCGTCTAGACTTCCCGTAACAAGCCTCTCACCATTCCACCTCCCACCTCGAAGCGCAACCCTCGACAATTCCTCCCCTCGTGGAACAGGGCCAATTAGCATCCTATCGCCGTCCCTTGCACCGCTAATTGATCGCTCGTTCCGTCTCTCATCACATACCGGCCTAATGTCTACCACTTCGGGAGTCAACGTACGTGTGCCGCTGGCTTTGCCGTATGCCCGAGATGTACCACGAGGCCATAACTGACAGAATTTTATATAGGTGCTCCGGTACTCGGCTCTTGCCCTAGGCGTTTTCTACGGTTTCACGCACCAGAGAAGTATCAACGCAACGCAAAGGGTCGCCGCGGCAAAGAAAGAGTACGAACACAAGCAGCAGTTAATAGAGAAGGCGAGGGCCGAATATGCGAGGTCCAAAAACCCAACTCTTGCGGCGCCCGAGAAGAGTCCTTGTACGTTTTCTATGGTTACATGCGAGTCGAATAAGATGCTAACGGTACGATTAGTGAACCAAGACCCGATGGACCCCAACTTCGACCTGGAAGCCTACTTCAACGCCCTCGCGGCACAAAATCCGTAGGGATGTAATAATACTGATACCAGACCCGGTGCGCGTGGAAATACAATAGAGACTAGGGGCAGAGACGGGAGAGAGGGCTAGAGGTGAACTCGGTGCGGCCGGGGTTGGATCGAAGCTGCTTCCTCTACCGACGACTTTGCAGGCTCTGTGTATGATTGCGATACGGTTCCAAAAAGACCACCTCATAGATTTCCTCGGGTTTCACGCTGTACATGTGTAAAATACCAAAACTTATGCTAACCTAGACCCATTTGGCATTGGGATGGCCGGATCTTGCATGACGTTTACGGTACAGCCCTTGGCGGCTGCGTTCGATTTCTTTGAGTGAATTTTATACTGTTTACTATCACTTCCCAGTATTACATGTTGCGTCTACTCTACTAGGCAGACGAAGATGAGAGGTTTGCCTGGACAGGTTCTACTAACGTCTTAGCCCATTTACATATATATGAAATCTATATGAAAAGTCTTTAGTAAATGCTGAGGCAATATTGAGCAGGTGGATAGCATTCTGATAGATAGACACACTCAATTACCCATATACATAGTTCAGTATTGACCTGTAGGATATGAAAGACAGAGCTCTTAGTTCGTATGATGCATATGCCTGATAATAATAAATAGGTACCTACCTAAAATATTTAACATGATTTAAGACAGGAGTCTATTACGGTCATGCGAATACCTACCTAACCTTAGGTACTTATATACTTGATGCCCGTGCCTACATGATGTACATATGTATGTAGCACAATGCGCATACCCGATCATGTATTCATGTATCTGGTACTTTCACTCCCACACATATAAAATGATTACATAATTACATGCAGATTGAATTAGGACCCCTGCAGACGTGGAGCTCTTTCTGCAACTGCGACGCGCGGATCGATTTTGTAAAAGCTCCAGCTGTCCTCTCATCACTTCCGCCGTTTATCCATTTGAGATTTGAGGCCGAGTGAACTACGAATTTCACTTCCCAATTCAACACCCCCCCTTTCCACATACCACATCTTTCTCAAATGTTGACACCGTCTACCACCTAGTTGCATTGTCTCGAGGCAGCACTCACCCACAATGGCTGTCGCAACTGGCACCAACTCAACGCCTGTCGACTTACTTGTCAGCGTGGGCAAGAGCCAGAACACCAAAACCTTGTTAAGGGTTATTATTCTCTGCTTCATTGCCGGCGCTGCAGTCGCAAGTCGACTGTTCTCCGTTATTCGTACGTTTCTTTATTATCTCTCTATTATATTGAATCTAACTGCTAACTGTTGTTCTTGTAGGCTTCGAGAGTATTATCCATGAGTGTTAGTTATCTCCACTACGTATAATAGCAATATGCTATTTAGATACCGTCTCTAACTTGATTGCTATATATAGTCGACCCGTGGTTCAACTTCCGAGCAACCAAGTACCTCGTTGCCAATGGATTCTACGACTTCTGGGATTGGTTCGACGACCGAACATGGCATCCTCTTGGGCGAGTTACCGGAGGTACCCTCTATCCTGGGTTGATGGTCACAAGCGGCGTTATCTACCATCTCCTCCGAGCTTTGGCCGTTCCCGTTGACATCAGAAACATCTGTGTGCTTCTTGCGCCGGCCTTCTCCGGCCTTACTGCTTTCGCTTCTTACCTCCTTACCAATGAGATGACCACTTCCCCGTCTGCTGGTCTTCTTGCTGCAGCTTTCATGGGTATTGCCCCAGGTTATATATCGAGATCTGTGGCTGGTTCCTACGATAACGAGGCTATTGCCATCTTCCTCCTTGTTTTTACCTTTTATCTCTGGATTAAGGCATTGAAGCTAGGTTCTGTACTTTGGGGTGCCCTCTGCGCTCTCTTTTACGGTTACATGGTAGCCTCGTGGGGTGGATACGCCTTTATCACATGCTTGGTGCCTCTGCACGCTTTCGTGCTCGTGTGCATGGGCAGGTTTAGCATGCGCCTCTACGTCTCGTATACCACATGGTATGCTCTTGGTACTTTAGCTAGCATGCAGATTCCGTTCGTCGGTTTCCTACCGGTCCGTACTAGCGAACATATGCCGGCTTTAGGTATCTTCGGATTCCTCCAACTTGTCGCTTTCCTTGAGTATGTTCGGTCAGCCGTCCCAAGCCGTCAATTCCAGACGTTCCTCTATGTCGGTTTAGGTGGTGTCTTCGGCATTTCAGTTCTCGGTCTGGTTGGTCTCACGACCCTTGGATACGTTGCGCCCTGGTCCGGTCGATTTTATTCTTTATGGGATACAGGATACGCCAAGATCCACATTCCAATTATCGCGTCCGTATCCGAGCATCAGCCAACCGCCTGGCCAGCTTTCTTCTTCGACCTGAACTTCTTGATCTGGCTTTTCCCAGCTGGTGTCTACCTGTGCTTCCAGAGACTGGAAGATGAGCATGTCTTCATCATTGTGTATGCCTTGTTTGGCAGCTACTTCGCCGGCGTCATGGTGCGATTGATGCTCACTCTTACCCCTGTTGTATGCGTAGCCGCTGCCATTGCGGTTTCCCAAGTCCTTGACACGTACTTGGTCGCCAGATCGCCGATACCCGCAGACAACAAGGAGGATGAGAACGTTGATCCGAAGAAGGCATCAAAGCACGGAGTACTCCGTACTACATCACAACCCGTAGTAGGCATTTACAACTTCTTGTCGAAGGGCTTCATAGCTGGATGCATGACACTATACCTACTCCTCTTCGTACAACATTGTACTTGGGTAACTTCAAATGCTTATTCGTCACCTTCTGTTGTCTTGGCAAGCAGGATGCCAGATGGAAGTCAGCATATCATCGACGACTACCGTGAAGCCTATCAATGGCTTCGGCAAAACACCAAAGAAGACGCCAAGATCATGTCCTGGTGGGATTATGGTTATCAAATTGGTGGCATGGCTGACCGTCCCACTTTGGTTGACAACAACACGTGGAACAACACCCATATCGCCACTGTTGGTAAAGCTATGAGCTCGCGAGAGGAAGTAAGCTACCCGATCATGCGCCAGCACGAAGTTGATTATGTTCTTGTCGTTTTCGGCGGTCTCCTCGGCTATTCTGGTGACGACATAAACAAGTTCCTCTGGATGGTGAGGATCGCCGAAGGCATCTGGCCTGATGAAGTCAAGGAGCGCGATTTCTTCACTGCTCGAGGTGAGTACAGGGTTGATGATCAGGCTTCAGAAACCATGAAGAATAGTTTAATGTAAGTTTTTTCTTTAGCCATGTCTGCGTCGAGAGACATCTCTTACTAACACATCATTCCTCAAATCCAGGTACAAGATGTCGTACTACAACTACGGCTCTCTCTTCCCACCCGGACAGGCCCAAGACCGCGTCCGAAACGCCCGACTTCCCGACAAGGGCCCAGTCCTCAACACGCTAGAAGAGGCTTACACTAGCGAAAACTGGATTATTAGAATCTATAAGGTAAAGGATCTCGACAATGTAGGCCGAGATCATACGGCTGCCGCTTCCTTTGAAAGGGGCCACAAAAAGAAGAAGGCAACTAAGAAGCGGGGACCCAGAGTTCTGAGAGTTGACTAATGAAATGGAATTACGAGATGAGGATACGAAGTGTTGATCGGGTAGGAAGAAAAGATAAAGTGATAGGCAGGTAGCCTATCCTGGGTCATATTCATACACATACCGGTAAAGTTGGGAATGCAGCCATGGATGGCTTGGCCACTGTACAGGTATTGAACGCGAGGCAGGAAAAAAAACGTATATTCCCAAGTTATCCAAACAAGTGCCCTATATCTTGCAAGATGTGAACCCAAGTATCAAGTAAATGAAATGATAGCTTGCTTAATGAGAATGTCTGCATAATACAACAATACCACAGGTATCTCTGTTCACCTACTTCGGGGGACGACGAGTTACTTGTGATTTTTCCTAAGTTCCAGGAGATCCAAAAGCCAAATCACAATACACCTAGAGAATACGAGCGAATTACGGCAGATATAAATCCCTAGGTATAAAAAACGGCCAAGTGAAAATACAACAAAAGAAGTTGGCGTTGTGGAAGATGTTAGTGGGGATGTGTTGGGAATGAAGTGGGTTCGATTTTGCCGACAGAATAGGCTATCAATTAATATATAGTTAAATTACAAATCAGTTTTCATAGCCCGCTTGGCACAGCGGTAATGCGCCTCACTAGTACTTGGAAAGTACTACTAAGGAAGCTATGAGGAGATGACTGGTTCGACTCCAGTAGTGGGCATTTCTTTTTGGTGGGTGCTATTGTCAATTTCTAGTTTTCTTATGTGTCAGGATAGGATGCCCTGATATGTGTGAGATGTGAGATGTGAGATGTGAGGTAACCTGAGAGGATAACATTTCGGTTCCCCTTAATCCTCTTGATCGGAAAGACAGTTACAGTCTCTTAATTGTGAGATATCAATCAATTGGATTAGCTATCTCTTTCTTATGCGTAAAGGAGTATCGAACTCAACAGCAATGACAGTGAAATACAATTCGGTCCAAAAAACAATAACGTATCTAACTGTGCTAGTTATCTGCAAACTGAAACTGAATTTCCATGCTTCCTACAAGCGTCATTAGGGGGTACAGGTACAATTTTCTACATCCTTCAAACGAAGAGCAAAAGCGAGCTCCAATGGTTGCAAAAGCATCGTTCTATCTGTCCAATTCCTTTGTTCCAACTCATAAGACCGCCAAGGTCAATCCAACATAACATGAATACGCATAGGTGCTTGCGTGAGTGGTCAGTCAGGTCAGGTGCTATTGACAGGTGGTGATATTGCGATCAAATATTCGTCTTTGCCAGCATAGGCATAATATCCGAACAGAACAAGTGTGGTGGCCATCAATTATTGGTATGCGAGTTCAAACGGGATAACAGTGGGTTAATTAGTTCCATAACAGTGGCAATAAAGCCCAAAGTTTCTCTCAGTGTCGCGAAGAGAGGCGATTATGCCACCCTCCGCTAGTGGTAGACTGGTTGTAGTCAAACATGCTGGGCGGCATATTCTCCGTTGAGTGTCCCGTATGGCCGGCCATGGAGGATGTTGGGTCCGGGGCCATCAGGTCGAATGAACTGCCAGATTCTCTCTCATCGAAGTGGTACATAGTATTCTTGTGCTGCTCCCTTGGAGTCTCACGTAGGCCGGGTCGATCGGGTCGTTGCCAGGTATCATGGTACGACGGTGGCATCCAGGTGCGGGCACAATCTCCATCCTTCTGCTTGAAGGATCCTACGCGCACAGTTAGTTAGCCTTTCCAGTTCACGGGAAACCAATATCATTTTCTCATGAACTTACCGAATGTTCTCGTCGACCCATTTCGGTCGACATCCTCTCCCGTCTCCGAAGTCTCAGCTAGTTGGTAAGTAACGGTTGAAGTATCAGCAGTGGCGCCATTCTGCTCTTCACTAGAACGAAAAGACTCTACAGAGATCTCGGTGCGAGTCACAAACGTGGGAATAAAAAAGGAGGAGGTACGAGATTCACCCCAGTTACCACCTGCCAAGTCGTCAAAAAGCTTACCGGCGGATGCCAGTTCTTCCTCGGCCAAGTTTCGCGCGCTATTTTCAGCCCAGTCCTCGTCTTCCTCACCCCCTCCCCAGTAGTCGTCCGTGAAACCCGGGATAGAGGCCGCGTTGTCATACGGTAAGTCCGTCAAAGTCGGTGTCGACGGCCATGTGGGAGTATCCGGCGTGTCCGGTTCGGCTTCCGTTGTATGGCCTACATGTCCTTGGAACTCTTGACGTGCTTCAGGTTTGTCTTGATAGCAACCAATTTGTTCACGACTAGAATATGTATGCCAACGAAGTCCTGGACCCCCATAGGGTTGCCCAAAGTCGGGTGTTGTGCCCAAATTCGGCCGCTTTCGGTCATGGTTGTAGGTCTTGGGTCCTCTATTGTGAATGGGCTTGTTTTCTTTAGCCGAATCATAACCTTCGCGGGCTGTCCGCTGAGCAGGGGGATCGCTGTGATCAAGGTTAGAGTAGTTGTTCTTGAACTCTTGGACTTCCTTGAGAAAGCTGAGACGCTCGAAATCATCATCATCTATATTCTTATACACCTTATCACGAGTCTCACTCTCTAGAGAAGGAGCTTCCGATAACGTAGGAACCGCCCCTATAGAAATCTTGGGAACGGCCTCAGAAACTGCTTTAGGCACATTCGGTCGTGGAACTCTAGTGCGTCTCTTTGGTGAGGCAGCAGCTTGAGATGAGACCTCAATGCCACTACTATAGACTCTGCCAAAGTCTTCACGTTGACTAAGTCCTGAGGTCGCCTCTGCTGATCCCTTTGGTTCGTGATTGGCTGTCGTGTTGGAACTTTTGGCACGAGCAGCATTCCTCAGAGTAGATCTGCCATCCTCGTCCGCGGGACTCTCTCGACGACCCCGAGATGTCTTAAGTTTAGAAGTAGATATATTGATATTGACCTTGTGTCGGGGTTCTTTATCAGATGAGACTGCACGCTTGTTTCGATAGTGATATTCCCCAGGACTTGGGATAGGAATAGGTGCCGAGACGCCGAAATCCGACTCTTCTCCTGAGGATACCGACAAGGGTGGCTCCGTATAACCCGCCCGAGTAGCTCTTTGGGATGGGATCCTTGGTGCTAGATCAAGGCGTGTCGGTCTTCTCCTCAGCTTACGGCTACGCCATGCCTTTGCATCCATTGGCACATCTTCACGGATAGTGTCAGCCGTCTCGTAGCTAGTGGGACGTAGAGATTCACGGGTATCCTATAGGCTAGCATTAGCATTGTAATTTCTTTCGAGATAGATTTCCGGACATACGCCACTCATAAGATCGTCATCTGTATTGTCGGTGTCCTTGAGAGCGTGGTGTAGGCATTTGCGGCAATAGTCTCGGGTCGGTATTTCGCCTCTCTTCAACGGATGTGCTCGTTGATATCCCCTAGACCGCTTCTTCCCGCAAGCTGCACAAATATGGACATGCTGTATATACTTGCTAATTTCCTCTATTGCTATTGCTCCCTTCTCTTTCTTGCCTTCGTCAGTTCTTGTTCCTTGTGCTTGAGATTTCATAGTTGCACTATAATGTTCCTCGAACTCCTTAGCTTCGCTAGGGATGAACCTCGCAGTGCTGTTTGAGGCCGCTTTGCTGCTCCCGTCGGGTGACAAATTTGCCGGGGGTGTTGTTGGTGTTACCGGTGAAAGCGGAAAAGCAGGAAAGGGGTTCTGCATGGATCCAGAGATTGGGAAAGCAGATGACTTAGCTTCCGGATATAAAGCAGTATACTGGTGAGGTTGAAAGTACGAATGCACTGCCGTAGACGGAGGAGCCATGTATGCTGGGGGTTGTACATGTTGAGTGTTTGATGCTACACCAAGAGACTGTCTCTGTCTCTGTCCCAGACTTCGAAGGCCGCCGTAGTCGGGGAGTTGCGTAGTAGCATATACTCGAGGGTTAGTGGGTAGAGCAGCCGAAGGACCTTGGGCAGGCTCCATAGTCGGTGTGTTGTTACCATTAGCCTTCATATTCCAGAATGAAGCTGGCGATAGCGGAGAAACAGGCGTATGTAGTGGAGACCACATAGGGATTTGCTGTGTTGGAAGACTAAAGTCCGCAGGCATCTGGTTTGGATCTCTCGCTCCGGGCACTTCGTCATGGTATGTGTCATGGTATGTGTTACTATTGCGCGGGCTCTCTTTGACACGATAGATACGTTCGGGAGTAGAAATTGAAGCAGATCGAAGACTACTTTTACGCACTGTTCCAGCTGGAGAGGCTCCATATCCGCGAGCTTGGTTGTTGTTGTTGAATGAAGTTTGTGGCGTGTGAGGCTGGCTTGGAGTTGAAGGCGAAGCAAAGCCTGAACTTTGAGAGTAGAAGCTCCTGTGGCGACGAGCCCGCTTCTCCACATCTGCGCGAGATGAGCTACCGATGTTTTGGCCAAAAAGGTCGAATCCAATGTCCTCTGGTAGTCTGTCATGCTTCTTGCGAGCCAACGCGGGCTTTCCACCTTTAGTCTTGGTGATGTATATATCGTTGGATCTAGGCAGGTAGACCTCATTGTCAACTTCGTTGTATCTTTGCTGCGATCCTAACTGCTCTGACTGGGAGCTGCTGCCCCTATTGTCGTATCAGTAAGAGTTATGTGATAGGCGTGGAGTGAAGAAGCAATAGATCAGAATGTATTTATACGAAAAGGCTTGGTATTAATAACCCTTGCGCGTCATTCTGAGATGACAGGCCGATATTGAGTCCCAAGACCGGTTCCTGATGATTTCTGAGATTGTTTTGGTTTTCGAGATAATCCGGAGATTATCTCAGAACTACCCAGGCGCAGTCGTGCTAAAAGTAGGAAATAAAGTAGGAAATACCAAAATACTTACTTGGAAGGCCGTTGCCCTCCTGGCGAAAACACCTTGAACGAGGCCATACGCGCAGGTAGCATGAAAGCCCAATCGGCGTATTAACAGTACAAATCCATCTAAGCAGGCGGCGATGTGCAAACAAAAGGTTGGCAAGTATGCAGAAATTGCACAAAGGGTACGGTAGCCTCAGATTGACATGTTGTGTCGCGTGTGTAGAAAGGTAAAGAAATGATGGCGCGGGGCAAGGCAACAAGGTTGGAGATAAAAGCTGGAGTTTTGCCGCTGTTATCTATTTCACCTCGAGTTTCCCCGGCAACAAACATTTTAAATAAATCACCTTAGGTGGACAAATACAACTGGGTAACTCTGCATCACCCTAAGTTTACCCTAAGTTTATTTCATTATCGCTACTTCCTTTAGGGCAGCTATATACAAGAGTACTTGTGTTTATCGTCATCGTCTCTCCTTTGCTGCTGCCTTGTAACTTCGACGTGTCGGACGTGTCGGGTTCCGGATACAATGCGCAGGTGTTCACCTTAGGGTTCACCTTAGGTACATGTATGAGGTAGGTACTTACTGCACAGCTGTATTTAGGTAGTGAACCCAAAGCTATTAATAACTTTTAATAACTTTCCTAATAGGTATGTAGATAATTGTTATTATTAAAATATTCGTCGAGCAGCACTCCCCAAATGGAGGGACTGGGTCCATGTAGATATATCTAATTTAACACATACCATCCTTCCAGGAGTCCCGCCCTATATAAGCTCTTTGTAAGCTCCCCAAGGTATATAAAGTAGGTATGCGTGTACATGTCCCTCTATGTCCTTTCCCGCCATCACATACCTATATGGATTATACCTGCACGGACGATGATATTATAAATACTCTCCCATTTCCAAATTAGGGGGGCCCTTCCTGTCATAGACTTGGCACTATAGTTTTATCTAAGACCTCTATAAGTACGGAGAACGACATCGGGGTATAGCCTTTGTATCTGACATATTCAGCTATGTTGAGAGCGTGTATTCCTTCATTAGCGAGATACAACAGATAATTCCAAATGCCGAGTTGAATATACGTTAGTGATATCCACTGCTCTGCATGTACGATGATGGTATAGTATGCAGTGCCTGAGGCATCGCTCTCACCGTTGAGGGAGTCGAGCTGGCTGGTGAAGACATACGAGAAGCACGCGAAGCAAGGATCCTCACCGCATCAGCACGTTTATCTTCGAAAACCCGACTGCGCTCTACTTCTTCGTCCATGCTTTGCATCCTCATTTCTTGATCGCGTTGCGCCTCGGCCTTGATTCTATCATAGTGAAGCGTAGTCACAGCTCTAGGCCAGAGACGATCAAGTTTGCGAGCCTGAGGCTCGGGCACGCATGCCGGAAGCTCATTTACCGGTCTAAGGCCTGATGATCCTCCCCAGTAGCATTCGAATGTAACTTTTGCCTGACTGTGAATGTTGTCGGATCCCCAAAAGACTATGGTATCCCCGTGGTACAACTTCATCCAGTATTTACAAGCGGCCGTGCTATCCTTTGGCTCATTGGCCTGCAAAGGACAGTTGTTGATTCGTATCCCATTCGTCGCCTTAGTTGATATATAAAATGCAAATGAATCTGGTTCGGGCGAAGCTCGCATCGTACGGTTATTCGCTGGCCGAGCCGGATCCCACGGACGGAAATCGCCCAAAGAAGCAGCATAACCGTCTCTCCATAACATGACTCTGAATGCATTCTTAGGAACCTTAGACTCAACGACTGGCTCGTAAACAACCGTGTTGTTAGGATCCCGTCCCCACGACATCACGGGATCGTTTAGACGGATTGATATCCCCGACACTAATGATCCTTCGGTCGAGTAAAAGGCCACGACCGCTTGCGGTAGCTCGGAGGCTTGCGTTAGTGGTATGGTTTGAGTTTCTGGTGGTAACGTATCTGGAATCGACTCAGAATCATCATCGACGGGGGTCGAAGCCTTGTGTGGCATAGGCGAGCCATGCATCTCCTCAGCAAACCGGTTATCCCGCTTAAGTAGAGCTGGCCGTAATACCAGAGCCCTTCCTGTATCCTTGGGAGGGTTCCGGTTGCGCGTGGGTGGGAAGTGTCTCATTGCGAGGTCCCAAAGGCGCGATTTCCTCGGACCAAACTCTTCATTTCTCTTCTGAGCAGCGAGCTCGAATGCGTTGAACTGGAGATGAGTCATCTCAGGATAATCTAAATGCCATGTGTGCTTGTTTGAACTATCCCAAAATGTTGTCTTAGGTAGTGGATAGTCAATTTGGCGACCCGATTCGTTCTTCACCACCTGGGGGATACAAGCGAGTAAGCGGAGCTCGTCCTCTTCAGTCTCGGAAGCATCAATATCTCCTAAAGACTTGAGTCTCTTGAATGATGGCTTTATCCAAGTCTCGCCTGCCTCGTATTCGTCGCTAGTATCGTATGTAGGCTTTCTTTTACTTGTAGTTAAGTCGGCAATTCTAGACCGGAAGTCCGGGTCACCATTGGCCAGCGACTTCACGTTCAAGTTTCCAAGAATCGAAGAGGCGCCACCAAGGCTTTGGGAATGTGCGCCTAGTACAATACTTTCCGAGTTGCTTCGCAATGGGTCTCTGCTGGGTGATAGGACACCGTTACTTATGCGGCCTTTTTGCCTCGGGGTAGAAAGATCCTCGGATTCCTCGAAACTATCGAGAATCTCGGTCTCTAGCGCATCAGGTTCTCTAAAATTTGTGTCTGAGACTGGGAGGTTTAGATGATCCTCTCCGATGGCACCGGAACTACCCAATACCGAATTATTCACTTCTCCAAAGAGTCGATTCGGGCGTTGTTGCCCAAATGTATAATTTTCCTTTTCAGATTCGTATTCGACCGAGAAACCAGGCTCCGGTTCCCTAAAGACATCGTCGGTAAACCGAGCCGTTTGTCTATCGTCGAGACTAAGCTGCGAGGCCGCCTGTCCTAAGTCCTTGTCGTCGGAGACCACGCTAACAGAGCTTGTTTCCCCTACAATCCATGGATGATTTTGTAGTTCCAGAATGGTCGCCCTGGTTTCTGGCCTTACATGTATCATCCTTAATATGAAGTGAATACCATTGCTAGTTACACCAGCCCGTGATAAGGGAGTGATGCTAAGCGGTATCTTAATGATATGGTCGAGCAGCTCCGTGTATGTGACCCCGTTCTTAACAGGAAAAGGCGGACTGCCGGTGAGAGCATAGAATAAAACACCCCCGAGGGACCATATGTCTATTGCGTGATCGTATCTTTCCCTATCGATCTGTCTCTGATTACTTCTCTGCGTTCGTCTTCCATTATCATCATAAGACGAATACTCGCTGTACACTTCAGGAGCGCAGTACAGAAGTGTTCCACAGAACGTCTTAAGGAAAGTCTGTTCGGTATCAATCATTTTGGACAAGCCAAAATCCGTTAACTTGACTACGAGGGGATTCGTCGAGTGTATTAAAATATTGTCAGGCTTCACGTCGCGGTGAGTAATCTTATTTTCATGGAGATACCCAAGTGCACTAAGCAGCTGTTCGGCCATAATTTTAACGAAAGGCTCTGCTATCGGACCGTGCTCCAGGATATACTTGCCCAGATCACCACCTGGAACAAATTCCATAATGATGAAAAACTGGTGTGCATCCCAATCGAAATGCTCGATATATTGGACAATATTTTCCTTAAATTTGGGTCAGATGGATTGGAGAAACCGAGATAGGATGAAAGGAGGTTGCTTACGTGGTGAACCTTTTGCATAATCTTCATCTCATTTTCGACTTTCTGATCTAGGACGCCATTCTTCATAAACTTGCGCTTGTCTAGCTCTTTCGCCGCATACGGCGAGCCATCATATTTTGAAGTAACCTTGTGGACGGTAGCGAAAGCTCCCTTCCCGATGACACCTACGCGCGCATACTTCTCACCACCGCGCCACTCACGGGGCAGGCGAGGATGGCTTTGCGTAGTCTCCCAAGGCTCATCTTTAATGCCGGTCCTATTCCGTGGAGGTGGAAAAAGGTTAACCTATTTAGAATTAGTATCGATGTATGTAATATCATTCACTATTCGGGGACGCCGTCTTACATGGCCACTTGGTCCAGGGCCGATAGTCCTGTTGGCATCATCATCTTGCCCCTGAGCTCTTCGTAGATAGGCGCCGAGTTTTCTTCTATATGCCACATCGTGGTCACCATCGCGACGGGGAATGCGCACGAGAAACAGAAGGTCCTTCGAAGTGTCATGCATAACAATCTTGATGGTCGATCCACTCTCTAGAGTCCTCTTAGTCGGATTGTTCTGACTTGGCTTCTGAGGATCGGCGCGCTTCCGAAGCAATTTGCCGTCTACGACAGTGCCGTTTGTCGATTGGTCTTCTAACATGACAGTGCCATACTTATTGGCAAATATACGAAAATGAATATTGCTAAGCCTCTTGCTCGGGTCGTAGTCAAAGCAAAGATCACACCTCGCTCGATTGCGACCGAAGGTAAAACCTAGACGCGGATCCTTGAGAACCGACGACAATTTGATTACGAGGGCATGGTCGCCAATCCCTCGAGTTCGTCCAAAGTCCTGAGCATCATCTTCTAGGTATAGGTCCGAGTCTATGGCATCAGCGGTGTACCTCCCAGCAGTGTGGTGGGCGTATTCGGACGAGGACGCGATCCTCTGAACTTCGCGGCTGGCGCTGTCGGAATTAGGATAGAGTAGACATATTATATCGGATATGTCCTCGTCTGAGAAGCCCGAATTCTGCTTCCCAAACCTCCTAGGATCTAAGGCATTCTGAGTAGCTACAAACGCAAGAGTTAGAGACTATCGCTAATGATATGTAGCTATACGACAATGTGGAGACTGACCTGGTTGGGTGGCCTGCGAGTCGTCATTCGGGTCCATTGGGAGTATTGAGAATGCGCAGGCGCTGGCCCTCAAGAATTGGTTGTTCACACCGACTGCGCGAAACACAGTTCAGGCAGCCGGTTCGCAATTATTACGTTGAAACTCTCGGGCCGAACAACTCGCTCGAAAGCCTCTGTATATAGCAGGTCCTGGTCATTCAAAGAAAACTCGATTGCATTTTAGGCGACGAGATTATATAGGTATTTTTATGGTTGCGCCGTCGGTGATTATAGATTGCGAGCTAGCTGTGAATCAAAACATTCAACCGTGAACGTTTTACATACAAGTCTAACTCGGT